CTAGTCAGTTTCACTTATTGTGAATCTCCTACCCACCTAGGTTGGGTTGCTTTTCAGTGTCAGTAAACCCCTGGTAAGAATATTCCCATTTTCCTTTCTCCCAATCTGCCAGATTGGGCTCCTCTGCATAGAGAGACCCCTGTGGGTAGAACGCTACTCTGGCAACACTATGGCCATAGAAATTCCCTGGATTCCTGGGGTCTGGGGCCCTAAACACAAAAATTCTGCCAACAGCCCGGGCCCTCTTAGAGTAAGGAAGAGTCTTTTGGACTAACATGAAGAAATTGACAAAATGTATTTTGTGCATTAACATCATCCTACTGGAACTTAATTACAGCAAGACTGAGAATTATTCTTATAAAAAAGCTGTTTGGCTTTTAAAGGAAAAGTTCTTGGTGGGATTTAAAACAAATCAGACTTTCAAATGGAGTTGTTGCCCTCTTTTTTAACTGTCATTTTATGTGCATAGGATATAGCATAAGCTCTTTTTAAAAATCTGTAAGTCATAATGAAGGTGCTTCGAAGCTGCTTTAGGCATGGCACAAATGAGGACAATGGCTAGCTAGTGCTCTCCCTCAATTACAGTTCATTTCCTGCAGGGACACCTCCTTCCCTGCCAGAGACTGCTCTCTTCCACCCCTTTCTCAGCACCTCATTGGAAAGCAGGACCCACTGCAGCTCAGCAAAGCCAAAACTGCTGCAGTACCAGCAGCTCAAACGCAAATTTCAGTTGTCCTCCATCACCTGCACACAAACCAAAACTTACTTCTAAACAACCAGGACTATCAAGGGGCTTTCAGGGAACACATTTTGAAAAATAGAACAGTAAAAATGACAGACAATTCTGAGGGGCCCATCATTAGTATTTTATTGAAATAATGCCCCAAACCAAGTTAATAGTTTTTGGCTGCAATTAAAACATATCTCTAAGACGGGCTTAGTGGCACATGCCTGTAATCCCAGCACTCAGGCTGAGGCAGGACTGCCATGAGTTCCAGGCCAGCCTGGGATACCAAAGCAAGACCGGGGTCTCAAAAAACTAGTAACAGGGGCAAGGGATTTACCTCAGTGGTGCTGCCCACTGCCTCACAAGCCCAAGGTCCTGAGTTCAATCCCTGGT